GTTGAAGGATCTGTTCCCCACCATCACAACACGCACACACCACCACGATTTCTCCTACTGGCACCATCCTGAATCCACGAATAACACAGAAGACCATTGGCGCCATGAAGTCTCCCTCATCCTCCCGGATTTCTCCACCGCAAGAACCACCACCTCCGTCAACGAAACTTTCACCACATTGCCCGTCATCGACCTTCGAAAACAGATCTCGACAACACCAAGACCACATATGAACCAGTACTACGACACCATAGGACCAACAATTGCCCACCGGAAACCTTCGGTAGATACTGGTAGGACATTTAACGGCCACAGACGGTCCTTGCGAGCTGCCGACACCCACTCCCCACCCACTGGCCGCCCCAGTTCCACATTGCCCACACGTCCACTCGYGAATCCACAGTACCCAAACCCAGTCCCCGCGTACCAAACCCACTTCACGAAAAAAGTTATTGGGGGCCAAGTCCCACTTACCCGAATTCTCAATTTCCAACCKTAGATAAGGGAGATCAACGGTAAGAAATCAGAAATGACCGTACGTGGGACTTGGCCCCGGGTCCTCACAGCCGAACCACAACCCTACATAATACCCGATGCCTGCACCGAAGCTCAGTAATGGTCCCACATTTCTTTTTCTCTGGGTATTTTGTGGAGGATTTCCTGGGCTCCTTTTCGTATTTCGTATTAATAAAAATTTTCTGTTTTGTAAATAAAAACATTAAAAAACAAAAAGAAAAAGAAAAAAAATAAAAATAAAAATAAAAATGGACCTTTTTCCCAAAAAAAAAAACAGACAAAAAACGGATCTTTCTAAACCATGCACACGTCGCAGGTTCGACTCCCCACTTTCGATGCACTCTGCACAACGAAACAACCGAAAGCAAGCGGCGTCGATTTTTCAACATCCTAACATTGGCTAAAAACAAAATTAAGTTCTTTCAGCGCGCAGCGTCGCGGCAACCGCCGAATGCTTTTTTTTGCAAAGTTTCTCGTTCTCCGTTTCAATTTTTTGACACTACCGTGATCCTCTGACAGTATCCACCACACAACTCACCGCAACTTAAGGTCTCGCCGTTCGACAACACTCTATCGACGGTCGCAACACTCTCTTTGCACACCAAATACTAATCCCACAGAGAACCGCGTGTCCATCACCTACGCCCGGACACATTTCGCTCCAAAACTCCTTCTCGGGCAATCGCGGCGCTTAGTTTCGAAATCAAAAGGCCAGAAGCGGCCGAAAAGAGAAATTATCGGCGCGCAGCGTTCCATCCGCGGCCCACTTACGTATAGGAGTTTGTTTTAGACATTAACAGCGAGTCCGCAAAGAATTCTCAAGCGTAAGCATAGTTACCCTTCTATACAAAAAAGGACTGCAAAAGGACGTCAGAAACTACGGAGTCTAGTACAGACCCATCTTGATACTCACCCTGCACAACAAGATTGTTGCAGAAGCACCAGCTTTTAGGATCCGCAACCTCGGAGACAAATGTTTCCACAATACCATATTAACCAAGCTGGATTTGTCCCAGGCTGATACATTTTAGACAGTGTTGTGACCCTCAACAAAGCGACAAACAAATTAGTCGAGCAACGAATGAGAGTGGCCATACTTTGGTGGTGTTTCTGTCTGAATTGGATGCCTTACCTGTGGAAAAAGGAACTGGCCTGCTGCTCCCCAGAATAGAACGGAAGCCATCAATAATCCATCACTGTTTCAGAACCATCAGCAACTGCAGGAATGTACACCGCGCTTGGTCAGTATCTCATGAGAGAGGACACAGGCATCACAAACTCTTTTTGTCATTGCAAATATCGGATCAGTGATGCATTCTTAATAGTTACAAAGTTTGTAGACAAAGTAGACTTGTGTAAAGGTCCGTACAAGAATTTTCAAATCAACGTATGAACTGGAGAGGGATGTGTCCCTTGCTCGCTTTTGAGCATGCAGGTGTGTTACATCTCACACTTAATCTGTGTTGCCCTCTCTCTCCGCTTGCTCTGATTCGCCAGATCGACGTAGCAGCATGATTTGTGTTTGAAACCACTTCGAATAGATCGATTATTAGCCTGATCATAGAGGTCGCAATCTCTCACCTAACAATAAGCAATGCACATCGATACAGTGGGAAGAAGGGAAGACCAAGGTCAGACTCTCATTCGCAAAAACAAAGGTCTGTGATGACACTGGGTTTAGGAAACTTCTAGAGGGGACTGGGGTGGGAGGAGGACAAGCCCTCAGCAGTGGTCCAACTATTTCAGTCTCCGTCTTTCTCGCCGCCTGCCCTCGATCTGTTCGATTCGGGCCCAGCAACGACTGCGAGTGTCCCTGTGAGTGCCAGCATCCGGCATTCTATAGCCTCGATCACACGGACTTCGCCGCGAGAGCAGGTTCATCGACTGGCTAGCGGACCGGGCCAGCGAGGGAAGGCAGTCAAGTACTCCGCCACACAACATTAAGGGTACCACAGGCACTGCGGCGTATGCACATGAGAGAGAGAAAGGGAGAGAGATACGCCAATGTGATCCCGATGATGATGAAATGCTACTTCCTGGCTAATTCATGATGTTGATAATGAAGATTCTGCGCTTGCTCCTGATCACGATGATACACCGCATGCGAAGATGCCGCTGCGTATGTAATTTCCGCTGTTTCCTCTGCACCCCTTCCCTTTGAGCCCAGTAAACCCAACTCATCCATTCGAAATGCCCGGATTAGGTCTCTTCAATGGCTAATTACTTACTTGGCTTCCCCGGTCAATCAATGGCTCGACCAGAGGCGAACCGCCCAAAACATAAGTGGTCTAAATAAATTGTGTGTAGCTTGCAAAACAGGGGAAGTGTAGGGCATCCACCACTGCCTGCTCCTTTGTGATACCTACAAGGCTAGAAGTAGAATACCAGAGACCAGGATCGAAATAAAGCCCAACCCGGAGAAGAGAGGAGATTGACGAAAATTTCTCAAACAAAACATTGGGCTCTGGGAAGATAGTGGAAATTCAAAATGATTGGTTGAAATTTAACAGGACCAGGTCTCACCGCTCGCTCATGCAACTACAGCATCGACAGGCCAGTCGGCTTGGGTGGACCACCTAACCAGAGCTTGGGACATCACAGCACAGACATATGATTCATCTGCCGTGCTGCCGTGTCCCAGCTGTTGCAGCTTGAATATAGAGTCTGATATCAACAGAGATCTGGACCGAGCTGGCCAACCAAACCCCTGTAGCCACAGCAATTAATGTTGCAAACGAAGCGATGCAATAGGCAATGGTTATTTCAAGTGGGCTCAATGACTGCAGACGTATCAGGAACGTTGGACCTGGTTCCAGCAGGTGACGCTCCACACTGACAGACTAGAGCACCCGGGCAGATAGTAATASGGGGGGATGCTGGTGACAAMCCTCCAAGTACATGCTTTACCCGGATACTGTGTGGTGCACTGGTCGGTTCACAGAATGTTGCACCTTGGTACCAGCAGGTACATCTTTAGTGCATCATAATGAATAACGATGGTCTAGGCTCGGCTGTTTGGATGCATTTTGGAATCCTCTTACAGCCTGGGTAATCAACCCCTTGGGGTCTCCCCGGGCAATCAGTCTGCTGGGAAGAGGGAAGACCCGGTCAGTGAAACTTTGCCTTGAAACCAAAATCAAAGTTTTGTAACAGACAAGTGGACCCGCCRCGAYAGAGGMGGGGCGGGAGGGGGAAGGAGGGCAGGAGGGATGGAAGGGKGAAAGACAGCACAGCAATAGTTGGAATTMGACAAAAGATCAATGATTGCTGGTGCAGTGTGTTCTGCTCATGGCAGCAAGTGAAAGTTCAACAAGGATGCAAAGACACATTAGCTGCAAGTCCAAGGAAGATTGAACCAGCATAAAATATTTATCTTCGTTCAATCTTCCTTGGACTCGCAGCTCATGTGTCTTTGCATCTTTGTTATTTATTGATCCAATGGCCGAGCTCAGTTGGTAGGACACACAAKTGGCATTCATGAGGCCTTGGGTTCAATCCCCGTTGGCCTCATGTACCTTCCTGSGCACGGTTGCCGCCCGCCACCTAAAGATAGGTCGTTGGTCCCCCRAGCGGCATTGAGCAGAGAGCGCTGATGTTAGGGGGAGGGGACGGGASGGGACGGGAGGGGAGGCACAGCGACTGGCCCATAGAAGAAACTCGGTCCTGATGCTACCGGCTGACCCCTGGCTGGTATCGCCCACCTGCAGGTCGGGTGCAGCCCCCGCATGTTCCCTCGTTGGAGGGCTTGAACTTGGACTTACTGCTACCGTGTTCCCCGTAAT